TACTTAAATTATGACAGAAGTTACCCTTAACTTATAGTTGTACAACTACCACAATGCTAACTAACCAATGAAGGTTGATTTGGTTTTAACATTGGCCATATATTTTATTTTTCTTTACAGCAATTTTCATCATTTCTTTCTACTTATAGGTTTTATCATACATATCTTAAAAAAAACAAATAACAACACCAACATATATTTTAACACTGAGAGAACAGTAGGCAATCATTCTGATACAAACTAAACAAAGAGTGCACCCATCTAATCACGCAGGGATATGTAACGTGAAGAGCACTCTTGCATGACCCAAAACGTTTAAAAATCCCACTGACCTTCGTGATTATGTTACACTTGACTTATTGTATGTAAGTCATAAATGTCACCCTTCCACTAAATTTGGTCTATCAAATGACTTTCTAGGAAATGCACACTTGATAAAGCAGAACCCCCATAAAGCCCATTGTTTTAGCTTTCAGGAATCAACAAAGCTATGATTGATACTTGACAATCTCCCGCTACACATGTACAATCTGAAACATGCTTATCCGAAGGTTGCTATCTACGAGTTGACATAAGATAAATGGAGTTACAGTGAAATTCTGATAATGTCTAACACTTGATAATAAAACTAAACTTACACAATATTATTATCCAAGTTAGTAGTGAAACTGGTGATATATATATATATATATAATAAAAAATATGTATCGTAATCTTGTAGTTAATGCTCTGGAAAATGAAACTGGTGTTCTGCAACGAACTTGAGATAAAGTTACCTTAATCAATATTAACTAGAAACAAGTAAAAAACAGAGGGCAATGACATTTTTATTAAAATAGCCATTAAATATTAAATCTACACTTGAAATTATTGACATGCAGCATAAAAAGATATCATGTATCACTGCCAGTTGTCATATCAATGTTAACATTTACACAGGTTTATATTAATTTCTAATAATGTAAGACTGAACAAAGGTAAATTTTTATTGAACTGGACATCCAAAGGTTCATGTTGACCATAGGTTATTCAGAAGTTGGAATCAACCATCCTGGATTTCACAGAATTAAATAACAAAGAACATGATAGTAACTGATTGTCAAGTTCCCAACAGTAGCTGATTATCAAGTCCCTGACAGTAACTGATTGTCAAGTCCCTGACAGTAGATGATTATTAAGTTCCTGACAGTAGATGATTATTAAGTTCCTGACAGCAACCGATTGTCAAGTTCCCAACATTAACTGATTGTCAAGTTCCTGACAGTAGCTGATTATAAAGTTCCTGACAGTAACTAATTGTCAAGTTCATGTCAGTAATTGATTATACGTACAGTGAAGGAATGAAAATTACTTGATAAGTATAATAACTGTTTACTCTTAAAGCAAACCACTGAATTGTTTAACAAAATTTATCTTCAGTGTTTGTACCTGATCTTCGGCCCTAATTTGCATGCCTAATATCTTAAATTCACAGGAAGAAATATCCATTCAAATGCTTATCTAATTAATAATTAATTTCATATTCACTGTACAATGTATTAAATGTATGACCAAAGCATTCTGGGGTACTTTTGTAACTGTTGCTAGGAGACCTTAGTTAAATAACTATAAAAGCTCATCACTAGATCATTACGTTACTCATACCACAGTATGTGAAAAAAACCATATAGCTATGCAAAATAAAAGCTTATTATTCAAATGATTCAGGTCTAGCACATTACATCACATACTTTATCAAGTCTATATCCCCGACGAAGCTTTACGCTTACTTCTGTTTTTAATGTTCTTATAATTACACGACCAATCTGATTCAGCAAAAGCATGCCATTTGTTCAAACTGAAATAACTTTATCATAGCTTGGGTTTCAGCAATAAGATTCTGGTACACCTCCCTTACCAAAACCAATCAAAGTGATGACAAAAATATATATACCATTGAAGAATTCAGTCTAAATAATTCTTGTTACAACAACAACAACCTATTTATGAAGCAGCATTTGATATACTTAAAAAAAAGAAAATTAAATTAAATGCTCCTTACAAATGTGATCTAAAAATTAGGTTAAAGTCAGAGAAAAAACAGATTACATGAAAGAAGGCTAAGTTTCCTGTTTGAACACTCCCCATTTTTCCTGTTGATAAAAATGAAGCTGTTTCTACACTGTACTAACTCCTCAACTTCTAACGATAAAGTTCTCATCCTGCAAATGTACAGCACATTTGTTTGTACTGTGCTTAACTTACAGAATTTTTCTCTTTGTTTCTTTGTGTACGTTCTTGTAAGAGTGAATAACTTATGATGTAAAAATATATCTGTTATCCTCTCTGAATATTGTAGAAATAAGTAAATTGCTTACTTTGTATAAAAATAAAAAAAGTACATTTCTGTTTCATTCCTGTCTAAGGAACAGATAACTTATTTTGTATGTGATTTCAGAAATATATGGACAACAATCTCATGCACATAAAAAAAGGACTTCAGAAGAACTAACTCTCACAATTAGAAAGCACACACTACATGGTAATACCATTTAAAATATTCACACACTACATGGTAATAACATTTAAAATATTCACACAGTACATGGTAATACCATTTAAAATGTTAACTCAGTATATGGTAATACTGTTTAAAATATTAACTCAGTACATGATAATACTGTTTAAAATATTCACACAGTACATGGTAATACCATTTAAAATATTCACACAGTACATGGTAATACTGTTTAAAATATTCACACAGTACATGGTAATACTGTTTAAAATATTCACACAGTACATGGTAATACCATTTAAAATATTAACTCAGTACATGGTAATACCGTTTAAAATATTCACACAGTACATGGTAATACCGTTTAAAATATTCACAAAGTACATGGTAATACCGTTTAAAATATTAACTCAGTACATGGTAATACTGTTTAAAATATTAACTCAGTACATGGTAATACTGTTTAAAATATTCACAGCATTTCTGCCTTCTTAACAAAAAGTAGAATGCTATAAAAGTTAACAGAGGAACACTATATGTACAGGATAATGTTACAAAACTTCGTATTGTATTGTATGTCTCTTTACACGTACCATGGTTTTAACAATGTTTAGACAACATATCATAGCTAGATTCAGACAAATAAAAACCCTGAAATTTAAGTCTCCAATCACCTACATTACAGCAAGTTTAACATATTGTTTGTTTGTATTAGCTCAAAGCTACATAATAAGCTATTCTGTATTCTGTTAACTGCAGGGAATCAAACTCCACGTTGTAGAATCGTACGTCTGTAAACTTATTGTTCATGCACTGGGGAACAGCTTTTTCGTGTATTAAGGATCAGTAGAAAATACAATTAAGACTATCCATACTTTATCTTACTGATATACATATATATATATACATACATACACGTGTGTATGCATCCGTAAATATTTTCTGCATTTTTATGGCTGTTCCTACTTTACAGAGTTTCTTACTTTCATTAGTCACAAAGATCAAAAAAGCCTGTGTAGGACTAATTTTGTTTTATAAATGTGTTGCTGATAACCTCATTGATAATTACATATTTGAGCTCCAGATGTAACCTGACCCCTTGCAAATTTTATAGTTGTTGTTTTTCAAACGTCTGAGGTCATTGGCAAACAACTGTTGTTTTAATTTAATAATTATTGTTTCTGATTTAACTTAGTTTTGTGGTTAAAAAAAATTGACATGCAACAATTTTCTTTATTATAAAATACCAACAACTTACCTAAATTCTCTTTTAACAGCCATGGGAACTGCAAAACTTGGAACAGCAGTTAGCATCTCCCACTGACATTCTTCCTCACTAACATTTATAGGACTAACTTCTTCACTGACAGGCTATAAATTCAAATACATAAACACAAATCAATACATACAGTACTTGGATGTTAGCTATAATGAAACGTAACAATATGAAGTTACTATATTTTTTCACTCTAGTTTGAATCATTCAAACTGTAAACAACCAAATTCACTTATTGAGCCAGGATTAAAATTTGCTTTTCAAAGTTTCTGGTCTAAAATTAGATTCTGGATTCAAACCTTAAGATCATAAAAAATAACACTGTAAAAAAAAATGGTGAATATAATCCCTAATTTGCAGAATGTGCTAATATTTTTATAAATTACCAGAACCATTTACTTCCATAAAACAATTACATATATAGGAGGCCTTACAGTCTCCACACGTGTAAAAATATACGAGCCAAGAACAATGAAGAATTGGGAAGAGGTTTTGAGTATCCCTATATCGGCATATCCAAATGTCATCCGATAGTTAGAACCAATGAACATACGGGAATTTCTATTACAACGCAAAGAAAGTTTAATAATCCTTTTGTTTCCTCTTCACGCATCAATGCAACGTACGTAATTTCACTGTCCTCTGCAAGGCCGATACTGATAAAGAATTATTGACTAAAGAAACACTTCACATCAAAGAACATTGTCAAAGCCTAATAACAAGCAGTCTTCATTTAAATTGCACATTTTGTAATGTGTAGAATACTAATATTAAAGTTACTCCTGATTTTTGTATATTTTGTTGTTCTAACTTTTCCTCTTACTAACTTTTTTTTTGGGGGGGTTTAATGTAGCACTGTAATTTTAATGATGTCTAAGGACTGATTTAAATAGATGATATTTTGCTTTAGATAGTAAAGATAGAAATCTGTAGAATTCTAAATTGTTTATCTGTGCCCTTTTTTTAAATGAATAAATAATGTTGTTTGTCATAAGTCTTAATCATTTTTATTACCACAGTTCAAGAGTCTTTTACACAAATATTAAAACATACTAGGACATGGTCAGGCACATCAATTCCATCTACTTTTATATCCGTAGTCTTGTGAACAACCCCAAAGGAATGACGTGATCTTCTGGGCAAGTCTCTTTTCCCCACTTTCCAAGATCTTTGCATTGTAAGCTGGTTCTGTAAATGTGCAGTTAGACTTTCGTCGGGTTCCACAAATTTCTGAAAGCTTCTAGGCAAAGTTACTGAGCTAGGTACACCTGTAGCTGGGGTGATCTTTCTATTAGCTCGCCTCCTTAAAGTGTAGGCTCGTGTACTTGGTAATAAAGTATACATTGCTCGTGTCCAGTTACAAGATCCCTGTTGTGGTTGGGAACTACCATTAGTATAGTGGTTGTAATTCTCAAGCAATTCTTCAGCATCCCCACACTGAGCTTCATTTTTCAGGTCCAAGTCTTGAAAAAAATAAAAAAATTTACTTTTACATCACACTTACATTTTTGTTTCTGGGTTTCATTTCAGGATATGTTTAGAAAAATAAGTAGTTCTCTTTCTGAAGATACTATTCACATCTTTGTAATGTATCTCATCACATTTGAACAACCAATTTCTGACCAATGACAAGGCATAGAAATGACCCAGTATTGCAAAATAGTACTGACGAAATCTAAAATATAAAATAAACCTTTATTTCAAGTCTGTATTTTACTTTATCAAAATAATTAATCTCTGTCTTACCCCAACTATACAAACTAATTGACAGAAGAAAAGTATACATTAGCTCCACCAACTAGCTCCTTGGGTTCTAAAAATTCATAAATACACATTTTACAATCTGACAATTCACTCATCCCCAAGAGTATGAAGATTAATCCATCTATCCATCTTTAAAAACTGAATATTCCCTTATATATATATATATATATTTCCCACCTGCAAAGCATGACAATTTATTTACAAGTACACTGTTAGATCTTAAGACTCTGACAATTTACTAATCTACTCCATTTAGGGCTTGTTAACCCATCCATTCAGAGAGCTGGAAAATTCACAATTTACTACATGAGATCCATATCATACATATTCAGAACTTACCCGTATTTCATTGTCCAAAAATTCACCTAAAAATACTGTATACTAAAAATAAAACATACATGTAGAATATTCAAGCAGCCACTTCCACGAACTTGCTTTAGCAGCTGCAGAAAATGAAGCTCCACACTGCTTGAATCATCATGAAATACCAATACATTCACAGCAGCTGAAGGAAAAGTAGAGGTACAACCTGTTCAGGTGGCACATGATAGTAGGTGACGACTTTTATAGCAATCTCACAGGATTTGTCAACACACACATTACAGTAGAAATTCCAGACTTTTCACGTAACAACAACTACAAATGATATAATTTTCCTTTATTTTATCTTTTCCTTAGCTATTAAGTTTTGTTAATTTCAATGCGTGTTTATGAATTACAAAGACCTAAAACGCGAGCACATCGAATAGTTTACTATTCTACAGGAGGATAAACGGTGATGATTAGTGAGTGCAACGTAATATATATATATATAGATACAGATGTTGAAATCGTGCAGGCTGGATGTTCCAGATGAGTTGACCTTGGAGACTAGCCAATCACAACTGGAAATGTTGGTGTCAGGTTTAGTTTATACACATTTCTTAAAATGATTTCCTAAAAAGTAAAGGATGGATGTAAATACTAACTCTTCCCAGGGTTGGGTGTGAAAGAGAATCTTAAAGGACCAAATGGTTCCTTATTGTCCATTGGTTATTATGTTAAATTTGCTCTCATATATGACCTGAATAAAGCCTTGGGCAGATCCTGTTTTGTTCTCAAAGAAATGGATGAAAAAAAATTTAATTTTAAATGAGTAATATTCTTAGCCATTATTCAACATCGTCAAAGAAAATTTTTTTCTAATTTTATAGAATTTTTATTTACAAGCTTTGGGTTTATGGCTATGTAGGTTATACACACCTTGTATTGATACATTCTCAGCAAAAGTAAGCTGACTATATGAATCAAGATAAAAAAAAATAACTTGCATATTCATTAAGTCAATCCTTTATGAAAAAAAAAAACAACTGATAAGAAGTACGTAATGTGATAAATCAACACACACGAAAGTTAAAACCTAAAATGATTTCAATACCAATATGCAGAATATTATACTTACAAGCATTTATGTTTGTAAATATATTTATAAATTTATATTTCTGTTATTCTTAATCACTAGAGAAAAACATTTTTTGGAACATATTCTCAACCAAAGCTATATGTAAAAACAAAAACTAGCATTTTCTAAGAATTATAAATATATATATGAAATGGTTTACTTGTTTATATGTTTTGTGGAATTAGCTTCATTTAATTAAAACTTATTTTTATGGGTAGTAGATATTAAGTCAATCATCTTGTACAGAAAGTGATGAATAATATTGATACACATGAACATTTAACAGGTTAAAATCCTAAACTTTCTTGGAAGGAAAAAATTAGTATTCTAACAGGCCTTAAGGGTGTATTATTACACATTGATTATAAGTCAAAAGAGGTAACATTTCTTAACACAAATCACTAGGCCTCGTTAAGAATCTACGAAAAAATACTGAAGTTTTGGAAATAAATCAGAGAAGGACTACCAGGGTGTTCTTAAGGGTGGATGGGTTATCTTATGGATTATAGGTTAAGGTCTCTTAACTTGTTTTTTATTTTAAAAAGATTATCTGAAGGATTTACAGGATAAAGTCCTCCGATTTCTGTATTCTGAAGACAGTAGGATGAGAGGACAGATTTTTAAGGTTTGCAAAGACAGTAATGAATGACAAAATGGTCCCTTGTTGTCCATAAGTTATGGACAGGCTCCAGTTAAGACGGTTATATTTTTATAATAAGGTGATTAGCTTATGGAATGAGTTGCCATCAGCAATAGTGTAGGCCAGCACTTCACAACAGTTCAACATGGCAGTCAAAGATTTCCTGAAAAATTATGAGAAGGTTAAAATTTTTACATTTCTGAAGGGTGGGTGTGTAGAGACAGCCTTGAAGAACCAAACAGTCTCTTGTGGTCTTTAGTTTTTGGTTAATCTAACAACTTTCCATTTTAAAAGCAGCTTTGTCTTTTACAATTCTTGAAAAAGGAGTCCCCTAAACAAAATTTTACAAATGTTCAAATTTCAAACATACCATTAACTTCTTCCATCTTCTCATTTGAATCAATATTAGTATTACATTCCAAGTCTTCCATTGGGAATTTCTCTTCTGATGAAAATGATCCCCGTCTTCCTGTTTCCATGGGCATGGCCATAATATTAATAGTACTACAGCCAAATGTGCATAAATCAGAGTATTTTCAGCATCTTTTCATTTTTCAGGCATTTAGTCAAGCTTTTGCTTTAAAAAATTATGTATACATCTTCAACAGTTAAAAATTAATTTGTATAAGGATTCCTTATTATTTATACCAGTTTTTGAAACCTCACAATTAACCTTTATTTAAAAAAAATCTCAAGTAAACAAAGCTCAGATACAATTACACTACAGTTGATAAAGCCTAACTATACACTATTGTCATTACAGTATTGAACTTTGAAGTTGAACAAGATAAAATTTTATTTGATTTATTTAATATGAATTATGACTCAGTTTGAGCATTAAATTATCTTTTGGTTTAAGTTTTTAATTTTAAAAATCTTATTTTCCCTACTTTTAGAAGCTTAGTTCTTCACTTTCTTATCACTGACTTTTTTTTTAACGTTATCAATAAGTTATCAAAATTTGTAACTATAAGCGTAACGCAAACTTGCTACTAATGTACCATTGTCAACGAATCACATAACATTACTAGCGAAGCTATACCTATACCCTGACATTAAACCGTTTCGTATTAAATAAAAATATACTGAAACCTGAGTAAAATTTAAAACTACAATTTGTACAAAGTACAGGGCTAAGTTTCACTTTAAGTGTTTCACTGACATACAAAATAGTTCATAAATATTGTATTGTTATTAATATTAATAATAACTCAAGTTACACTATGAACAGTGATATAGTTAAAGAATATTATAAACGTTCAAATGACTATTGTGTAACATTCATTTTCACGATACATAACTATGAAAAACGGATCAAACACAGACAAATAATTATAAACTTTTGTTGATAAAATTCTGCGACTTCCGGCAACGTTGGCAAGCAACAGGTTGCTCCGCCTGCAAAAGCGCCCCCTATGTTAGTCAATTGATTTATTTGCTCTTGAATTTGGATGACTGAGGTAACTTGCGTGTTGTAAGCTTAATACTAATGGCAAAAGAACAATGAAAATGTTATTTTGTAAATTTCCTGGTAAGTGATTGAAACATTTATTATTATTATATCCATGTACAATGTTATTTAGTACCCCTTTTTTAATGTTTTACTGTTTTGTAGATAATTTATGGGCTGAGTCCATAGCCTTATACTATTAGTGTTACTACTACTAGTAAAGTACTAAACAGTGAAACTCGATATATGTCCTGTTACATGTGTTAGTATTACGATATTAACTATACAAGCTTAATTATAATAATGTGTTTCTCCAAAAGTACTTTAATACGGCTCTTATAAAAGCGAATAATTTTTGTTGATATTTTAGCTTAAAACTCATTTGCGATACACGTCACTTTTAGCTAGCGGACAAGCACTTTTGCTTTTTTTTCCCCCAGCTTCAAGGCCAGTGTTCCCTTTCAGTGACTAGGACACTGACTTTAACTTTAAGGGCAACGGTGGGTGAGGAAATTGTAGCACTTATGTATATACCTAACGATATAGCTGTCAATCAAATAGCTCGAAAACTTTTATTTTCAATTAAGTTCTGAATTAAAAATACTTGGGTTATTCCATAAATCACACAAGTTTTATAATAAGAAGACTAATAGTAAGGAACGTGAAAATTTTGAGTAATTCGCCAAATAACAACAAAGACGTGTGAACTATTTTCGTTTTACAAAATCATCCTATACAACATTTATATGAGAGTTGTTAAAGATAAAATGACAAAGTGTTTGATAGAAAACATCCATCAAACTTGCAACCAGAACTGATATTAACAACGGTTGTAAAAAAAATAATAATAATAAGAGCTTGCCAAAGTATCGCATCTCAGTATTTAACTGTGTTATAAGTGTTTATGGAAGTTGTGTTCAGTCGAACCAGTTTTTAATTTTGGAATAAAATTAAATATTTGTTGTTTTTTGTGTGGAAATGTACACCAGACAAGTAATACATACATAAAGAGAGAGTTACACATGTACTTAGTTTGAGCGAACAGGTGTACTATTATCGCCATGTACTAAATTCAAATATGATAACTTGCCATTCTAAAATGTTATCTTTGCAACCCATTTCATTAACATACAATAATCTTAAACTTAAAGTAAATGTAATTTGGTAAGATTTTATAAAGCAAAAACATTAACTCGTAAAATATTAAAAATAAACAAGTACCACTGCATCTAATAATTTAAAAACCCTATTTGTATTAACCATTATTAATAGCAAGTTTTTGTCAATATTGGGAGGAAACAAATCACCCAGATTATCCTGTTATTATTGGAGAATTATGATAAAGTCTAAACCATTAATATTAACAATAATAAAAATAATATAAAGTAAGAGCTGAGTTTATCCTGACCTTAATTGCTCAAATTTAATTAATAAAATATTAATATTCTTATATTTTCATTCAAATTCCAGTGTTTGAATTTATTAATTTTTTCAAAGAATACTTATCATGTTATAAATTTTTTAATCAAAACATATGAGCAAGATTTACATATACACTGAATTCTGGTGTTGGTTCAAAGAGTGAAAAGTTATCGCGGTTATTTATTACTTGTAAAGTGATGGCGCAACTTATAATAATAATTCTTTGTTTGTTTGTTTTGAATTTCGCGCAAAGCTACACGAGGGCGATCTGCGCTAGCCATCCTTAACTTAGGAGAGTAAGACTAGAGGGAAGGCAGCTAGTCATCACCACCCACCGCCAACTCTTGAGCTACTCTTTTACCAACGAATGAGATTTTGAAAGGATTATGTCATTAAGAACTAAAAAATAATCGTTTTATACAAAAAACAACTCTAAGACGCTAAGTAAAAGTTAATATCGAAAGGGTACCTTACTTGGAGAACCACTAACGAAGCACATTACTTGATGAACTACTGACGAAGTACATTACGTGGTGAATTACAAACTAAGCACACTACCTGGCGAACTACTAACAAAGACCATTTCTTCGACATTTTTACAAGCATCGTTAATCAAACGTTAAACATATTCGGTAAAACAGACCTTTTAATTCTGAATTTAAAATGTTTTATTAATACAACTACTTAAATAAGTATGCTACAAAGTTTACAGACCTTTTTTTTGTTGTTGTTGTTGTAGCGCAACGCCATATATTAATCTACCTGTACCCTGTTCACAGCGGGGAATCAACTCACAGATTTGAGTGTCGTAAGTCCAAAAAACTTACCGCTGACCCACGAAATTTATTAGCTAATTTTTCCAACATTACAATATTGCGTGGACAAAGCTCATAAATTCGATGTAATGTTTTCCATAAATGAGATCTCTGCTACCCTAATTGTTGCAGAAAACTAATTTTTTTTGCAACCGCTTCTGAGATTAATAGTTTTACAAAATACTTTGACCTTTATTAACTCTATCACGTCTCACTTTATTTCTTAACTAATTTTTCATACGGTAATAATGAACAACTTTATTACGGTGACCGTTGTATGTTTTACGTTTTTCTTATTGCTTGCAGTATAACAGCATATTATATAAAACTAGAAGATGCCCGTTGAAAAAAATTAAACGCTAAATGTTCTTAAAATAGTGATGAGTAAATATGAAATATGCAATCAACCCGTATATGCAATATTATTTTTAGTTTACAGCCGTGATTTGTCATTCCATGTGTTATTTCAATAAGGTAATTTGTATTGGGGTTGTTTTCAAGCAAAGGAGACTGACTGAAATGCATTGTTGGCAAAAATGTTTGGGTTTCGATGCAATGGGTGCATCCAGCACAATAGAACGCTCAGGTTCTCTAAGCAGCTACGGGGATTTTTCCGCTGGATGCCACCATTCCTTGTTATTTTACTGAGTGTAAGAAAAGACAGATACAGAAGTGATCTCTTTTTCATACTTGTAATTTCTATAAGAAGTTTCAAAGAGGAAATATTCAATTCTATGTATTCGACAATAAAATCATGCATGTATATAATACCGACATGAAAAATTAATAAATAAGTAGATGAAATATATGTATATAAACTGAATAACAACAAATATTTACACACACACTTTCTTTTCTTTATGTGTGTTTTTCATTCATGTTCCTATCTTCAAAATATTTTTTCAACCAGTCCCTTTTTTTCTTCGTGAAACTTACTCACAAAAAGAAGCATTTCTTCTTCTTCTCATATTGACCGTTCAGCACATACTAAGACTGACCGATCGATGTTGATGTAGATATGGAATTTTAGGAATTGCAAAAAAAACGAGTGAATAATTTTCTATGCAGGAACAACAACGTTAAATATAAAAACTAAACATATGAAACAGAAATTAATCTAACTAAACTAATAGTATAATGTTATCTATACATATAATAGCCAAATGTTTGTTTTCACTTTCTGTATCTCCTGAACGGTTAATCATACCGAAAAAATATTAAACGTTTATCTTCAAGAGTACATTACAGGTTAGTTCTTTCATTACTGTGGTATTTCTCGTATTTTACTAACGCACGTACGTTTCGGCTACTAATAGGGGTTTAGCTTTATTCATTACTTCCAGCTGTCCTTTATCAAGTGATGATGTGAGACAGTTAGCGAGTTATAAATACAGTTCGTAGCATATTCAATAATTTATCATCTTTATTGAATGCACCATGGTTACTGTAATGCACGAATCGCTCTCGAGCTGACTATAAAAATCTGGATACACGCGTTCTTCGCGTATGCGCTAGACGGTAAGTATCCAATATTAAAGAAAACTCTCTGTCTGTCTGTGGACTCATCTCCTCCTAAACGAGTTGACCGATCCAGACCAAACTTAGCATACTAACTTAGTAGTCCAAAATCAAACCAAATTCGTATTAAACTTTCCTATATATTGAAAAATAATAACATTTTATAGAATAGCCTCTTTATCGTTAATGCAGTAGCTATTGTAAATAGTTTAATTTGAACAAAACTAACTCACACCACAACAGAATTCGACAAGTCAAAGATTGTAAATAAAATTCAGTTGGTTTTTTTTCTATAATACAAAAGTATAAAGTAGTAAAATATCCGGCTACAATGCAGAGAATAAAGCTATTGGTGCTTTTCAAGTTTCCCGCTCATTTCTCATTCACGCCATTTAACCTCCGGTTAATATAAGAGTTAGAATAAGCACTTAAATTTGAATTAGGGAAGTATATCATAATTAAGATACTTTTTAGGATATTTCTTACATTTTGATGTAGAAAATAGTTTTCCCTAGAAGCAAAATTCTAGATTATTATTAAATTTAATGCATCAAAAGTCGCAAATTCAGACAGTAGAAATCTTGACTACATCTCTACTGTGAAGTGGGCTGCTTTGAAGAAGTGACGCAACTGCTTTGCCATTTCTGCCAAGTTTCTCGACTCGACTTCTTCACCTCCTCACTACTGATCCACTTCTTCTGTCTTACAATTTTCTTGGATAATGAATGTTACTGAAAATCCTCGCAGAAATTTTGCTCGTTTTTAGAAACTTTAAGAGTGTTATCCGCGTTTAAGAGAAAAAAGACGGAGGGGTGTAGTTTCTTTAAAACAACCCGCAAAACCTTTAAGGTAAGACATTTAAAGTGTATTACGAGAGCTTCAAAAAGAAAGTCCATTATGGACTGAGAGTTCACTTTTATTTGTAGGCTTTCTTCAGATCTGCAGGGTTTTCACCAAGAGCAGAGCTGAGTATGTAATTTGTCTCTGAAAAAATTAGTCTAATTGCTCATCTATTTTATTATTATTTTTCAGCTTCTTTCCTTATCTAACCTAATAAGTTTCTTATTTTTACATTTTAATTACTT